GAGCCAAGTACGGTGGTGCCCACATAAATCATTTCAAAAGAGGAGAGCAGGCCTAGGACTCCCGAGCATAGCAGGGACCTACCGTGGATAAAAAGAAGATGGGAGGAACAGAGGCAATGAGACACCCCCGAAATGTGGAAGGGTCACATTCGTATTGACAATAGGTTCAAGTGGGTAAAGCTATTGCCCAAGCTTATGTGGAAACTGCTGCAGGTACTAGGGGTAGAATTTGTTATGACATTGTCTTTCATTGGTGTTCCCCATTTCCCAACTGACAGCTTTCCCAAAAAGAACACCCATTAGCGGAAGCGGGACAATGGTCAACGGTCACATTAACAATCACCCTTTATTCCCTTGTCAGATGTCCCTTCTACTTCCCAAAGTCCTATGGAGAATTCGCTGCCGATTCTCAAGCACCAGGAAAGGGCCCTATGTACTGCTAAAAGTAAATGAGTAGACATGAAAAAGCCCTTGTAGGGTTCCTACGAGGTTCCTAAATGATCTGATCTAAGCCTATTAAGCCCAACAAAATTGTTGGGAACCTCTACTAAACAATCAAAAGGGGTTTTGAGAAAAACTCACAGATTTAGCTATTTTTGCAAGGTCTACAGCTATGTCGAGAGCTGAATTTCCAATTCCAAGCAGAAAAACATTCTTATTCTCGAACCCTTTTGAATCTCTGTAATCGTAGGCGTGCATAATTTTTCCTTTGAATTTTTCGACATCTGAAAATTTGATTTTATTCAGCATTCTAGACCACCTGATAATGGACCCGCTTACCTCTGAGTTGTGGATGTTTCGGTTCGGCATGATGTCCTGTGCACAAAAGTACTTTATCAAAATGATTTACTTCGCCGTTTTCAAGCTCTACTTTGAATCCATCACCTTCCTCCGATATCTGAAGTACGTCGTGAACGGTTAGTACCTTAAAGTTGGTCTTGCCTACAGACCAATCAGTGTCTTACGTGCTTCACTGATGTGTTGAATCGGATGTGTCGTTTTAAATCGAAGTGGTCCGCATACAAGTGCAGGTATTCATTCACCTGTAACACCATTGCTGGCATTTCAACCAGGGATGGGTAAGATTTCACCCTATGCCATACCTTAGAGTGATGCATGAAATTTGGCCATTCTTCTGGTGGAGGAAAGTCTGAATATGCCATAATTTCTTTAGACGTGTTCACTACAGTACTGGCCATTACGGTGCCTCCAATCTGAAAATGACCGGAATATGACAGAGTCTTTCCTATCGTCTGAAAAGAATGAATTTTAAACAGGGAAATCATTCGAAAAATTGGAAGAACTATCATAAAAGTTTTAATCTATCCAATTCATAAGAATGTAAACAAAAATAAGCAGACATAAACAAATGCAGACGTACATCTTTCTGATTAGGTCGATAGTTCCATAGTCCACCGAGATCCGATGTTTTCTCATAGCATACCACGTCCAAACCTTGTTCTTTGCATGCTTTTATGGATGGGAGGCCAGAAACTCCAGCTCCGACCACACACACCCTCATTGGTGACTATCTTTGAGTTTTTTCTTCTGAAATGCCTAGGACGATGTTGGAAAATTTACCAGGTTGCACGAAAGTAGCAACAACTTCGCCAAACGTGTAGGGTTCAAAAAAACTGTTTGAATCATTTTTTATTTGGAACAGTTGCGGAATACTGTCGGATAGCATTAGTATCATTTTCTGGAGTTGAGACATCTATCGATTCCCATGCACCTAATAAACTTCCTGTGGATGTCATTACGAATCTGAATCGAAGTAAATGAATTGACACATAGCGTTGACGGGATGGAATCCCGGATTGATAGTCGCCTCAGGCAATCAGAACTTCATGCCCCATGGGTTAGACTGGTAGCAGACTGGTGGGAAAAGATAAAAGCACTGACTTGTGCATCGGCTGGACACCGTTAAATGGGCCACACTCAGAACGCCACTACGATTCTGTATGGAAGTGATACGCGGGGCTAGTCCCACCATAGGGACTGATATCCAGGCTTACTGATCCGCTATATCCGATCAGCAGGAGTCAGAGCGAGTCTTGGTGTAGAAAGAAAAACACAATCGACTAAAATCACCAAAAGGAAACCAATCAAACAGACGAAAGATGTTCCCTAAGCTGAACGAAGTGATGAGCATACTGGCAGAACGTGAAGGACCGAAATGCTCTTACAGAAAAAAAATCGGAAAGATTACCTTGTTGCCTACATTTCACGACTGCTGCCACCAGAACTGGCGCTAAGACGGCTTAGCGCACGTATGACCTCTATGATATGGTCGACATACCTCTCAGTGTGAAGTAGCAGTTCGATTCTTGCTCCCTCCCTGCCTATATCGTCTTTGAG